TATATATATATATTTTTTTTTTTTATAAAACATTAGTTAATGTCTTTCGTTTTGAGCTCGACGGCATGTTATTGATCAAGTCAAACTTTTGCCATATTCGAGCTCGAGGTGATCTGATGACATCGTGAACAATGTAGAGGAAAGTATTTTATAAAAAAAATAATCTTATGCTGTGTATCAGGTTTTGGTTTCTTTCTGAATTGACAGATTTCTCAAAAAGTGTTGAAGTCATTTACAAGACAGATCTCAACGTGCCTTTTCTTCTGGGCGGAGAGTAACGATTACACCTAAAAGAAAACGCAGGATTCCTAATATTGAAAAAAGGGTTTTACTGTCCTCAATTCTTTCTTTCTTTATTCATTCTGTACTGTTTATCTGGTTTAGGACTGTTCCGGAGTCTATCAGATGGCTGTTGTCCAGAGGTCGAAAAGAGGACGCTAAACTTGTCGCAAAGGGAGTGGCTCAGCAGAACGGCCGCCACATAAAGTCTTATGATATATTTGATAATCTCAAAGTCGACGCCGTTCCACAGAAGTCTAAGGGGATACTCAAGGAATTGTGGAAGACTCCTCGACTGGTATTTCATATGGTGCTCCTCTCACTAATCTGGTAAGTATTGAGCGTCCCCCTTCCCTCAACCCCACCCCCTCCCAATTGTGGAACCATTCCCAAAAGGGGAATATTTGAGTCACGTCACTTAGTCTTACGCACATATTTTGTGTAATATTTGAATAATTTGACTTACCCCAATATTTTCACAGTTTGTTCTGTATAATTCTTCAAACATAAGACATAAATTCACAGCAATGAAAAAGTGATATAGAATATATTATGCAAATATTAAACAAAACACAAACGACACTGGTGGCCCGAGGTTATGTTCCTTTCCGGTCAGTGTGTCTGTCTATTTAGTTTGTTTTCACCAGCGTCACTTAAAGATTTATGGTTTGTAGACATATTCAGGATAGCTTAGAAATTGGCTTCTCTAAAGGTGGTTTGATTTTGGATCCAAGAAATTTCGGAGGATTTTTAATTTTAATTTAGAATTTAAAAATCACCAAGAAAGGTCCAGTGACTTTGAGCTTGTGCAATGGATGTGGTCTCAATTACCACAATTACCAATTACAATTTATCAGTGCAGGCTCCTTGGCGGAGGTCTGCGCTCTCTGAGTGAATTTTTTAGTTAGAACATACGATTTGCTTCACAACATGGTCGTTTTATTACAGGGGATTAGTGGAGGCCACTTGGTTCGGTATCTCATTAAACAGCGGCAATATTGAAGGCAGCATCTTCGTCAACTATTTTCTGGTTGGTCTGATTGAGTTTCCCGCCAATTGTGTGCTATTTACTATCAACCGATACGGAAGAAAGATACCTTTTGTATTGACAATGGTCCTGTGTGGCATGTTGTGTCTGTCGACAACGTTTGTGGAGCTTTATACAGGCGAAGGCAATTTTAAGTTTTGACTGATTTATTTAAAATATTGTATAGATAGAGGACGTGTTATTCATCCTGTGATTCAACTGGTAAAATATATATGTTTTGCGGAATAAATCAAATGATCCTGCCATGGCCAGGCTCTAGAGCGTAACGATTCTACAGTATGACAAATACAAAGAAGTCGAATTTGCATTATTCAGATGATATATAAAAAAATTCACCCTCTTTTTCCTTAAATTTACAGATGAACACACAGGCCACTGGATACGCATTGCACTTTCTATTGTTGCAAGGTTTTTCGTGGCCGTCGCATACAACATAATATATATATGGGGCGCAGAGATTTACCCTACTGTCATTCGTAATGCAGGACTATCCACAAGCTCATTTGTCTCCAAAATGCTAAATCTTCTAGCCCCTGTCATAGTGGTAGGTACACTTATTATACAGTATCTAATACAATATATAGTATATAATTAAAAATATACCTGCGTATGCACGCTGTTTTTTTTTTTTTTTTTTTTCAAAAATTTTTTTTTTGTAATAATCTCTTCATAGATTATTACAGAGTATAGCCATCTATGGAGGTCACATGGTCCGATGGCAAGCATAGTTTTCAGAATAATTGCTTTAACTTTTTGTGGCAAATTAGAAAATATTATATTTTCATGAATCGTTACAATGTTTTTATTGTGAAATATAGATCTCATATGAAGAATTGTTATCCCTTTTTAAAATACTGGTATACTAACCTTGTTTAAGCAGTATTTCTTTATTTCCTTACAGCGTGAGTTACAAGGTCAAAACATGTTCAGCAGTAAGAGTACTTTGCCTCTTATCATCTTCGGCGTGATATCCGTTTCTGGTGGACTTGCTTCGATTCTTCTTCCGGAATCAGCCAACAAACCCCTCCCACAAACCATAGCGGAAGTTCGAAATGCGTACACTTCACTGCCGGCAAAAATCGCACTCGCAGTTATTGGTGTCAGAGAGCCAGATTCCCCTCCTCCTTAGTAATAAAACTTTCCGGAGGGAAACACGCAACGCTGCCTTTGGCAACAAACTTTACAAACAGACAAAGAATACCAAACGTCGAGGTGTAAGTTACAATGGAGGACATCATTTTCTGTGGTCTAAGTATGACTAGAATGATAATTTCTAGTCATTTCCACTCATTTCCTGCGCAATTTGATCGCTGGATAAGTACAAAAGCAGGGAGGGAATATGGTCATGTTAGGCCCCCAGAACCCAGAGATTGACGTTCTCCAAAGCATACGATGGCAGCCATCTCGACATGAACATTCCTTCCTTTTTTCTTACTTGTTTGATGGCTG